AAGACATCTCGAACAGCTCGAGGGATCACTCCTGGGTGATCTGGATTTCCTAGCATGGTGTGTGTCTTGCCTATGATTTGGCAGGAGACAAAATGAGAACAGTATAGCGTTATCTACTTTTAGCCCAGTTCTTTCCCCCAGATGACCCTGACGGCTGTGGGTTCATTTGGTTTCTTCGTAGCACTGCCTTATATTCACCTGCTCCAGTTGGTCCATAAGCCAATATGCTAGCATTCTGCCCCTTTAGTAGATGGTGTAAGAGAGGCTGAACTGACCCCATGTAGACATCTTGTTGGGTGGCGGCCTCACCATAAAACGCATCAAACCTAGTGAAGAATGTATGAATGTGAAAGGAAGGCAGGACAGAGGCTTACTGGGTTCTCTTATTTTTTTCTTTAGCAATCTTGAAAAATGGACACTTTATTATTTATACCCTGCCTTTATTATTTTTTTAATAACTCGAAGCAGTGAACATACTCCTTGAATGTGGACACTTTCTCCCTTCTATTTTCCCCACAACAATCCTGGGAGATGGGTTGAGCTGAGACAATAGGCCAAAGTCACCCAACCAGATCTCATTTCTAAGGCAGAACTAGAACTCAGCGTCTCCGGGTATCTTAACCACTAGCTCAGACTAACTTTTGTCCATACAATGCATCCCATTAGTTCATTCCCATAATACATGCATGTAAAGAGGCTAATCATAAAAAGTAGCATGACCCAGAAGAAAAAGCATCTGTCATTGCTCATGTAGCATAGGCACCCCAAGAGTCCGTACCCAACTTACCTATATTTCATAGTCTCCATCTCATTTCTCCAGTTGAGAATTTCCAAGGAGTGGGAGTCCACACCTCGTACACATGGAGCTTCCTGGCCTTGTCCAGTTCCCACTGCTGGACGTAGCCGTACACAAACCTGTACTTGCTCTGAGGCATTATCAGAGCGGTGGAAGTCAGCCCGGCTTAATCGCTGACTAGTTGTCATGATTACCTATTGGGGAGTGTGGGGGGAGAGATACAGAATGGAACAAATATATTAGTCAATGTATAGGCTACAATATGGGAGGACTAACAAAAGACAATGGCATCTTTTTTTAAAAAAAAGTGTTAACACATGGCTTATGGTCACACATTCACAGCCCTGGAAAACTGCCACGCTCAAATCACCTTGAACTCAACACTGAGGCAAAACTGGTTTCTTTAATACAGTGGCCCTCAAACTTTTGGGCACCAAGGATTGGTTTTCTATGGAGGTTTTCCCATGGACCAGAAGGAGCATAGTTTCACATGCTGCCTGCATCTCATGGATGGGGCTTCACTTGTTTGCGCAGCCTGGTCATTCTGGCATGCCATGGCCCACTGCCAGTCCACGGAATCCCTGCTTTAGAATACACGGAAACCCAATGAATTTAAAATAACAGCAAACTTTATTGGTTACAGTTGTAACCAAAAAAAAAGACCCCCAATAAAAACAGGAGACAACAATAAAATAATTCTTACTTTTAGAATCAGAGGTTTATTTCATGAGCCATTTGGAACTGTTGGAAGAAATATTCTTCTGGGTTCAGTTCCAAGACACTGGAAACATGGAGGCTGTTTGGAAGGTGGTTTAATGATGGACAGCAGGACCACATGGCTTGAAGCTCCAGAGTGAAAAGGAAGAACGATCACATGCTTCAAGGTGAAGGAAGAGATCAAGAAAGGACTGATATGCTTAGAATGCCTGGGTTTTATAACCTTTGTTGGGATTTGAATTGGAGCTTGTATTCTGATTGGTTGTCAGACTCCCCTGGGGCCATGCAGGGGCAACTCTGTAAGCTGTCCTGAGTTCCAGGCTTGGTTGAGCCTTGCTGGATGATGCACTGAAAGGGCTTTGGGCAATTGCTATGGTTTTATCTGGAGATCTTTGTTATGTAAAGTATTCTGGCCCAGGCCTTAATGGCCCACCCATTAACAAAGGTGGGGGTGAGTTTCTGCTTCTGAGGTGAGTTTCTGCTTCTAATTTCTACTCTTTTTAGAAAAAATATTCTGCCTTTTTAATATTTCCTAGGCTATTTCAGTTTTCTAGGAGAGGGGTGGGTGCTAACTTCCTCCAGAACACGAATAACATATCAATACAATCTTACAGCATTACTTTAATCAATAACCCATTGCAAGGAGGTCCAGAGATAGCAGCTAGGTCCAGCTAACATCAGTGGACATGATTTGAGACCCTTCTTTTTTTATACCTTTCTTCTGATAGCCCCTCAGTAAATGGAATTTTACTGGAGTTACTTCCTTGTTCCCTCATACTGATCGTCAGTTAACACATACTGTGTGTGAAATCTACTATCTGCTACTTTCAGTTCCCTATTTCCCAGTGTCCAGGATATTCTTAGTCCATAGCTCCTGAAACCAATTACTTTGTAGATACATGTTGCAAAATAGCACTAGCAAAGCAGATTACAAATATGCTTCTGAAATCATTTTAGCCAGCACTTTAATATATCATTTCATTTTGGGCCTCTAATTAATCTGAGGCCTACATGAATGAAGCAGGCCCAAGGCCCAGTCCTCCTTCTCTCACACAATGTATGTCTATTTGCTCTTTCATATAAGTACACACTCATTAATCCACTCTTACCCGCGTGCCCAACTAGGCTGGCAGGCATTAGCCAAAGGGATAGAAGCTGCCAACTCTGGGTCCAAAGACAATTCCAAGAGTGGGCGGACTTCAGGACTGCTTTTATCTCCCAAAGTCCTTGCTTTGTATTGATGGAACTTGTTTTCCATGTGCTCAGGCTGAATTTTTGTCTGATTCCGGTGACATTTTCCCCTTTGTTTCCATAACAACTTGGTTCCTTCTTAACTACTCTGTCTGAGGGAGCTTTTCCTAACTTTTGTCCCAGTGTTTACTTACCGTTATAATAATCATCATTAGGTATAGCAACTTTAGTCTACTTTAGTTTGGTTTACTTTATAGTCATTGCACCTCATACAACAAAATCAAACACCATCTTCAGTGCACATCATGACCATGAGCATGAAAATAAACACACATCCTTCACCCTTCACACATTGAATGGGAAACCCCTGACACCACACCAACACTGCACTATACAGCAGAATTCAAAGGAGCTACTGCCCTGGGATAGAAGCTGTTTTTCAGCCTATTTGTCCTTGTTTTTATTATCCTGTACTGTCTGCCAGATGATAGTAGTTCAAAAAAAGAGTTCCCAGGATGAGATGGATCTTTGAGAATGTTTTGAACTTTCTTAAGTCAGAGGGAGCTATAAAGCTCTTCCAAAGAGGGGAGAGGGCACCCCAGGTCGGGTCCTCTTTTATGTTAACATCCAGAAACTTAAAACTGGCCACTTGCTCCACTTGGTCTCCATCGATAAGCAAGGGCTGGATGTCTGGTCTGTTCCTTCTATAATCCACTATAAGCTCCTTGGTCTTATTGGTGTTGAGGAACAAGTTATTGTCTCCACACCACGAAAGCAACCGGTCTACCTCATCTCGGTAGGCAGACTCATTCCACCCCCCCCCCCCCCCCCCCCCCCGCAGATAAGTCCCACCACTATTGTATCATCTGCAAATTTAGCAATTTTACAAAACCATAAACAGATTTTAAAGGTTAAAGCCTTGTCTTCCAAAAGCAACTGAAATTATTCTTATTTATCTTGACATTTATTGGGCAATTCTATCAAAACTAGAGTGCCTTTTCACTTTCCTGTTGTTTCCTTAGGGGAAAAATAGTGTTTAACATGATTTATTGTGATTTTAAGGCATCCCTCCCCCATAACTATCTTTAAAGTAAGAATCACAGAAATAAAATTCCATTATTCATGGGCATTAACCTATTCAGAATTTAACATCAATACTAAAGTATTTTATTACAGTTTGGTGGAAAAAACACATCTTTTTCAAATAATTAATTGAATTTGTTATTGAACTTACAATCATACATTTCCATAGAAGCATCCTATGGTATGGGTAGGGGTATTATAAGTAATCAAGGAAAAGGAAGCATGCATTTAGAAAAAAATTGACTGGCGATCAATCTTTCATCAAGCTGCTTAATGGAATTTAAGGAACTGCCTTCATTTTGGAAGGCAATCCCTCTGATGTCGGATCGAGGCCCTATTTTGCAAGGACACTTTTAATGGGACTTGGATTTCTTTCTTAGCATCTATAATGGGATTTGCTTCTAAATTCAAAAAAATTAAGTATCCCATCCATACATTGCACCCACCTTTATCAAGCCGATGCACAAGTCGGATCCTGATCTTCGTTTGTATTTGGCGCTAACGGGAAGCAGACCAATGGGAGAAAAGAAAGAAAACAAGCGGTTGCCTTCTGCGCGTGCGCATCACTCATTCAACGTGCCGAGCTCTAGAAAGGGAAACGATAGGGGTGAAAGAACAGAAATTTGCGCACGCGCACTGGAACAAAAGGACGTTTGAAGATTTAAATTCGGAACGGAAGTACTACGTAGGGCGTGGGAGGCACGTCACGTAAACTCGTTTTTAATAAACACCTATTTGACATTGAACGAATTCTCAACAGATCTCTAGGATTTTTTTTGTATTGCAAAACCTTAGATAACTTATCTTCTATTTGAATGTTATTTTTGCACACCAATGTTAAAGAGCTGCAGCCGCGCCTTCTTCCACTTTTCCTTATATATTTTTAAATGTCCAGTCTCTTTTTTTTTAGTCACTCGTAATAGTTTTTAAATCTCTAATTTTGTATGAAAACATAGGAAAGTAAATAACACTTGAAATTTACAAAATGGTTGTTAGGGAGACCGGACATAACCCGATTTTTACAAGAGGGATAGCGCACGCGCAATGCATCACCCAAGCGAGTCGCGCGTTCCAGCCTTTCTTTCTAACGCACAGGGGGCGGGATTAGATTCGTCGCCCGAAGCTGCGATCGATTGTGCTGGCCTCGATTTTTACAGTCTCGCTAGAGGGGAAAGTGGGGAGGGGGCAAGACCGTTCGCGAGCTCCGATGCGTGGAGTCGCCGACACCGTTTGTCTGCTTGGGGCTGCCCCTTGGAACTGAGCATGCACAGAGTGCTATTTCTCAAAAAGACTTTCCCTTGGTGAAGCTCGCCGTTCTTTTATTGGCCTAAGATTTAAATCCGAGGCATCTGATTTTTGCAAAGCAGTGAAATACTTTGGTCCCGTGAATATCTCATGTGCAACCTTGGATTTGAACGCAGGACTGCAGCTTAAGGCTGCGCTTAACTCCTGTACCGAAATCCTAAACTTCTTTATCACCGTTAACATTTGGAGATTTGGGGTAGGTCTTTAGAAAAAAAACATGGCTCTAGACTAGAGTCTATTCTTGTTTTTCTTTTTCTTTGGAAGATACAAATGTGGCTTAGTATGATGCTAATGTGAAAACCTGTTTAGGTTTGGATGCTGGTTGTTGGTTCACTTCCATTAAGTTATAACCATGAGAAAATACAGGTAGTCCATGATGTAGGACCACAATTGAGTCCAAAATTTTTGTAGACATTTGTTCGGTAAATTTTATCTCACTTTACGACCTTTCTTGCCACAGTTGTTAAGTGATTCACTGAGTTGTTAACTTAGGGACATGGTTGTTCAATGAATAAAATCCCCCACCCAAGCAGGAGACCTGGCCTAAACCATTTCTGACAGATGGCAATCCAGTCTCTTCTTGAAAGCTTTCAGGGATGAGGCTCCCACAACTTCAAAGGGCAACTTCTGTTCCATTGGTTGATTGCTCTCACTGTCAGAAAATTTATCCTTATTTTCAGGTTGAATCTCTCCTTGTTCAGTTTCCATCCGTTATTCCTTATCTGGCCTTCAGCTGCCTTGGAAAATAGCTTGACCCCTTCCTCTCTGTGGCAGCCCTCAAATATTCAAATGCTGCTACCGTGTCTCCCCTGGTCCTAGACTAGACTAGCCATGCCCACTAGACTAGCCATGCCCAGTTCCTGAAACCGTTCATCATATGTTTTAGTCTCCAGTCCCAATCTTGGTTGCTCTTTGCACTCTTTCTAGAGTCTCAAAATCTTTTTATAGTATTTTTTATAGGTAGGACTAGAACTCAAGTTCTCCTGTTTCTAGCGTGGTACCTGAACCACTTCACCAAATTGGTAAAATTGGTACAACTCCAGTGAGTTGTTATATTAGTATTGCCTATGATTAAAAATAAGAAACCTAAAGTGAAGAGATCCTGGTTTGAGATCCAATGAATTAATGGTTCATACATCTGCTTTATATCTCTCTATACAGTCTTCTTCAAACCTGGGGTAAGTGATTTATTTTGGAATAATCAGACAATATATACTAATTTGACAGAAACCACCTGAACATAAAGATGTTCAAAAGACCTGTTTAAATTAAGGATTGTGATGTTTGTCTCCTGCCAATATACCAACTCTTTCGCAACTGAATGGCCAAGATTGGATTTTCATCTGCATTTGTAATACTTTTACATGCT